CAAAAACCAAACAAACAAAAAAACCAAATTGAAGATCTGGCTCTTTGAAAAAAATAAATAAAGTAGATAAGCCCCTAGCCAGATTTACCAAGAGAAAAGACTCACATCAGGGCAAGGGATGAGAAAAGATTCACATCAGGTCCAGGGATGTAGCTCAGTGGCATAAGTCCTTGCTTGGCAAGCTTGAGGTCATGAGTTTGATTCCTGGTACCAAAAGAAAAAAAAAGACTCACATCAGTGCAATTAGAAATGAAAAAGGTTAAATCACAACAGACGCTATGGAAATCCAGAAGATAATAATTGCTTTGAAAACTTATATTTCAAAAAATTAGCAAATTTTGAAGAAATGGACAGATTCCTAGACACATATAAACTACCAAAACTAACCCAAGAAGATATAAGTATGCTTAACAACCTAATAACAAGTAAGGAAATTGACACGGTAATAAAGGACCTACTAGATTCACTGCTGAGTTCTACAAAATCTTTAACGATGTTACATCACCAATACTCCTCAAGCTCTTCAAAGAAATTGAAAGGGATGGAGTGCTCCCAAACTCATTTATGGAAGCCAGTATCACCCTGATTCCAAAACCAGATAAAGAACCAACTAAAACAGAAAACTATAGATCAATCTCCTTAATGAACATAGGTGCAGAAATCTTCAACAAGATGTTAGCAAATAGAATGCAGCACATTATTAAAAGGATCATACATCATGATCAGATAAGTTTCATCCCAGAGAAGCAAGGATAGTTCAACATGTAAGTCAATAAATGTAATACATCACATAAACAAAAGCAAGGTCAAAAATCATATGATCATGTCAATAGATGCAGAAAATGCTTTTGACAAAATCCAACATCCTTTCATGATAAAAACCCTGAAGAAAACAGGTATAGAAGACCATATCTGAATATGGGAAAAGTTATATATGACAAATAGTCAACATCATACTGAATGGGGAAAAACTAAAAGCATCCTTCCCCCTAAAATCAGAAATAAGACAAGGATGGGGTCACCTCTTCTATTCAACATAGTACTTGAAACATTAGCCAGAGCAATTAGGCAAGAGAAATAAAAGGGATACATATAGAAAAAGAATATAAATTATCATTATTTTCAGATGACACAATACTCTACATAGAAGACCCAAAGAACTCCAGCAAAACACTCTCAGAATTAATAACAAACTTCAGCAGAATAGCAGGGTACAAGATCAACACACAAAAATCATTAGCATTTGTGTACAACAACAATCAATGGGGTGAGAAAGAAATTATAAAAATAGGAACATTCACAGTAGCTTTAAGAAAAATGAAAGCGGGTGTGGTGGTGCACACCTGTAATCCCAGCACTCGGGAGGCTGAGGCAGGAGTATTGAGGCCAGCCTGGGCTAAAAAGTGAGCTCAAGGCCAACTTGAACTGCATAGTGAGACTCTGTCTCAAAAAGACCAAAAAAAAAAAAAAAAAAATGAATTAACCTAGCCAAGGAAATGAAAGACCTCTACAAAGAAAACTATAGTACTCTGAAAGAGGAGATTGAAGAGGACATCAGAAAATGGGAAGATGTCCCCTTCTGCTGGATAGGCAGAATCAATACTGTCAAAATGACTGTACTCCCACAGTATTATACAAATTCAATGCATTCCCAATCAAAGTAACAACAGCATACTTCATAGACCTTGAAAAAAAAATCCTAAAATTCATATGAAACCATAAGAGACTGAGACTACCAAAAGCAATTTTGGGTAACAAAAGCAAAGTAGGAGACATAGTAATACCTGATTTCAAGCTACGCTACAAAGCAATAGTGATAAAAATGGCATGGTACTGGAATAAAAACAGGCTTGTGAATCCATGGAACAGAACTGAGGATACAGAAACTTCCCTTGACACATTCAGCTATTTGATCTTTGACAAAGATGCCAAAAACATATATTGGAGGAAAGACAACCTATTCAACAAATGGTGCTAGAAAAATTGGTTATCTATTTGTAGAAGACTAAAACTGGACCCTTATGTCTTGCCATTACTAAATTAAAATAAACATGGATCAAATATCTAAACATTAAAATGGAAACATTAAATCTACTGAAAGATAAAATAGGTAAAACACTTGAAATAGGCGTAGGAAAGGATTTTTTAGACAGAACCTCAACTGCACAAGAAATAACAGCAAAAATTAACAAATGGGATTATATCAGACTAAAAAGCTTCTGTACAGCAAAAAAATCAATCAGAAAAGTGAAGAGACAGTCTACAGAATGGGAAAAAATTTTTGTCAGCTATTCCTCAGACAAAGGACTAATATCTAGAATATATAAAGAACTCAAAAACTTAATCCACTTAAAATTAATGAGCTAGTCAAGAAAAGGGAAATGAAAAGACACTTCACAGAGGAAGAAATAAAAGTGGTCAACAAATATACAAAAAAGTTCTCAACATCTCTGGCCACTAGAGAAATGCAAATTAAAACAATGCTAAGATTCCATCTTACAGGGCCAGGGATATAGCTCATCCGCACAGCACTTGGCTGATAAGCACAAGGCCCTGAGTTCGATTCCCAGTACACCATCCCCCAAAAAAGATTCCATCCTACTCCAGAAAGAATGGTGGGCCAGGGATTTAGCTCAGTGGTGCAGTGCCTGCCTGGCAAGTGTGAGGCCCTGAGTTGGACTGCCAGTACCAAAAAAAAGAATGGCAATCATTAAGAAATCCATCAATAACAAATGTTAGCGAGGCTGTGGTAAAAAAGAACCCTCCTTCATTGTTGGTGGAGATGTAAACCAGTACAACCATTATGGAAATCAGTATGGAGATTTTTTAAAGAACTGAAATTAGAAATTCCATACAACCCAGAGAACCCCCTGCTAAAAAAAAAGCCACATGTATTTTAAAGAAACTAAGAGGAAAAAGTACAAGAGTGCCCTCTTACCCATGATTTTGCTTTCTACAGTTTTAGTTATTTGCAGTATCTTACTCAAAGAGCTTAAATTATCATACTTTAGTAATACATGCATACAATGTTTTTGGCAGCACAACTTTTAATATCTAAATCTTGGAAACAGCCTGTATATCTATCCACAGGTGATTGGATAAAGAAAATGTGGTATCTATATATAGTGAAATACTATCCTTCTATACAGAATAACAGATTTGAGACATCTGTAGAAAAATGGATGAACCTGGAAAATATGTTCAGTGAAATAAAACAGACAAGCTTAAATACCATATGGTATTGAGTGAGGCAAAGTAAAAACAAAGAGAATAATAAAGGATGGATAGAAGGGGACTAGGAGATGGATGTTTTGCAATAGGAAAGTGGTCCAAGGGAAAAAGTATGAGATGTGAGGTACAGTGGAAGGGGAAATAAGTAGAATAAAGATATGTCATGTACAGGAACCTAATAACCTTAATTAATGTAAACATTATATGCCCTAACATGAGCTAAGATTAATAATATCAGTAAGAATGAAAAATAGGATAGGGCAATTGGAGGAGGGAAGGGGAAAGGGATTAAAAAAAAAGAAACAAGTTGTGGTATGTACACATAACCACTCCCCAAGATGACTGCAAACTGCATAAATTGCAAACATGTACTAATAAAATTTTTAAAAATTTAAATCATTTGTTTCATTTACATAAAAAGGTTTAATAAAACTTAGTGTATGCTGGAAAATCAATGAAAACAAATTGCTTTTGTCCCTTCTGCTTATCTGGCCCTGGATCAGAAACATTTTAATGGCTGCTGACAGTTAACTATGGCTGCGAATCCGAAGCAAGCTTAGAAGTTTTTAAGCCTTATGATCTTGATTGTTAGATGTGATTCCTTTGGAATTTTAAAACATGGACTGTCTCAAAAAAAGAAAAGGGAAAAAAAAATTTAAAAAGAATAAATTAATACATTTCCTTAGGGAAAAAAATCAATCACGTAGACAGGCCACTGGGTAATCTAATCAAGAACAAAAAGCAAAGCACATAAATATGCAAGATAAGAAATGACAAGAAAGATACAACTATTGAAACAGAAGAGAATTTAAAATTTTTAAGATACTACTTTCACAAGTCTAGACCAACACATTTGAAAATCTATATTAAATAATTTCCTAGGAGCAGGGTGAGGTGATACACGACTGTAATCCCAGCACTCAGGAGGTTGAGGCAGGAGGATCACTGTGAGTTTGAGGCCAGCGAACTACATAGTGAGTTCGAGACCAGCCTAAAGTGTAATACATAGCAAGACCCCATTTCAAAAAACAACAAAAAAGACCCCCAAAATCCCTAGGAAAAAATTTTTTTAACCAAAGTTGATCCAATAAATGTAAATAATTGAAACAAGTTAAAGAATTACCCCTCAAAAAGTCCTAAGGTCCTCGTGGATTCACAAGAAAACTTCAAAGCTACTTAATATGCTACAGAGCATGAAAAGGGAAATTTCCATGTTATTTTTAAATAGCCACATGGGGTGGGGTGTGGCTCAGTGGTAGAGCAGGTATTTAGCATTTACAAAGTCTGGCCTCAAGTGCCCCCCCGCACAAAAAGGTTAAGAAAAAAAGGCCACATGTATTTTAAAGAAACTAAGAGGAAAAAGTACAGGAGTGCCTCTTTTCTGTGATTTTGCTTTCTACAGTTTTAGTTATTTGCAGTTAACTGAAAATACTAGATGAGGGCTGGGCTTATAGCTCAGTGGCACAGCCCTTGCCCTGCAAGCGTGAGGTCATGAATTTGATTCCTGGTACTACCAAAATAAAAGCAAAAAAAACCCCACAAAATATTAGATGAAAAATTCCAAAGTGAGCAATTTATAGCTTTTAAATTGCATAACACTCTGAGCACCATGACGACATCTGGCCCTGTCCTGTCCTGCATGTGAATCATCCCTTGTCCAGCATACCTATGCTGTACGTGCTGCTACACACTCGTCACTCAGTAGCCATCTTGCTTATCAGATCTGCTGTTGTACTGAAATGTGTGTATTTACAAAACCCTCACGTAGTACCCAGTGCTATGTGACATGCTACATAATTCATCTCACTTTGTCCCGCCCTGGAGGCACTGTATCATCTTACATCAATACCATAAGGGTGAGTACAGTAAATAACATTCTGAGAAAAATCACATAACTTTTATTGCATTATGTGTTTACAATTGTTTTATTATTAGATATTGTTAATCTCTTAATGTCCAGCTTAGAATTTAAACTGTATCGTAAGTATATAGGTACATATTAGTCTATATAGGGTTGGGTATTCTAGGGTACCAGGCATCCAGTGGGATCTTGTGTTGGGAAACAAATCCCAGCAGTTGATAAGTTGTCCACGGTAAGCTTGAACCTGTAAGCCTGCTGCTTCAGCCTCCCAGCGTGCTGGGATTATAGGTACGTGCCATCATGTCCAGCCAAGTAGTGAATTCTTAAAGGAAGGTGATTAGGAAAGGGTCTGGATCCCAGTCTCACCTTCTTTCAAGGTACTGCTTGGCAGCCACCACTTCTGTTTGATGCATAGAGGAAGTGATCTTTTTCAGCCTGGCAACTCTCCAAACTACAAAATGCTCATTCAAAATAGATCTGCAAGCCGTGGAAAGTGTATTTTCTGTAGTGAAGTGGTACTTCCTTCCCTTTCTCCTTCAGGCCTGGACAACTCTAGTTCAATTTGGTTCCCTTCAGGGATTTGTTGAAAGTGTAAGGAAGTCACTGCTATGTGCTGACTTTCTGAATGACTCTAGTTATTTTTCTGAGTGCTTTACACATGGTGGCATGTGGGGTTGTCCCCCACAATGATGGATCAAGTGGTCATCCCTGCATAACAAGGCTCCTAGAATGTAGTCTCAGTACCCGCATTGCCCAAAGCCCCATCTCTATCACAAAGTCCTCATTTCAGGTTGTATGACTTGTAGCTCCACTTGAGTGTACTAAATTCTATTTAATAGGATTGCATTTGGCTACATTTAACAGAAACCCAGCAAAGTGGTTTAACCAGCCCAATTGCCTTTATTAGGCACAGCAGCTCAAGGAGTCAGCTGCCTTTGTCTTCTGTAATTCTCAGGGTTTCTTTTGGCTTCACGATCACAAATCAGCCTTAATTCTTCTGGGTATTATGTCTGCTTTGCAAGCTGGGAGAAGGGGCTAGGGGGAGCCAGCATGCATGTGACAGTTGAGTCTGGCTTTGCTTATTATTATTTTTTGATTAGATAATTGCTTTTCCAGAACCCCTACCTACTGACTTTCCTTTACATCTTGTTGGCCACATCGATACCCTTTGTTACAAGGGAGTAGAGGGAGATATTTTTAAACTATGAATAAAATGAAGATTTTGTAAGTAGGAAGAGAGAATAGGTGTTGACACTCAACTAAATCTGCTAGACCAGTGTAAACTGGCTTACACAAGAAAAAGAATTTCTTGGTTTAAGTAACTGAAAAGTCCAGAGGTTGAGCTAATTGATCAAATGATTTTTAGAAATCACCAAGAATCCAGAGAGCCCACAGAAGGCTTGCAGAGCTACATGCTTTCTCATTCATGCCTAATAAATACAGAGGGTCAGGATCCTAAGCATTTGTGGCTAACATGCTGAACCCAGCACTGGGCTCAGAATGGTCTGCGTCAATTGGCGTGGTCTATGTGGTGAGCTCTGAATATAGATTCAGGATGAAAGCATCCACGAATGACATAGATTGATCCCCAAAAGCAAAGTATGGTTTGCTGAAAAGAGACCAGGGACTCTGGGTAGTGAGATGGAAAAAGGATGATAAGAAGACACCAACAAACATCTTCCAGGTTAGTTTAGGAAAAGAGTTAATCACTGTGCTTAGTCGCCACTGGAAACACTAAAAATAGAATGGTTTCTGACATGACCCTGGCAATATTCATCTGAGTACTGCTAACAAGAGAGCCCCGGGCCAAGGTCTTATCCTGTCCAGTTATAGCAGCAGATCTGTCTTTATTGTAGGGCTTGGGAAACACACTCCAATTCTTCTTGCTGGGACTGTAGCTAGTGTGAGGGCTCTGGTTCAATTCCCAGTAGCAAAAAAAAAAAAAAAAAAAAAAAAAAAAAAAAATTAAAGGGAAGAAGGTAAAGAATTTAATAGGTATAGGTTCAGGTAACATATAGTGCATCTGTTAAAATGGAGAAAAGCAATGAAGGCTGTAGAATGAGCTGGGTATATACAGAAAAAAAAATTAAAGTTTCCCAACGTTCATGATAATAGTATTGTTGTTATGAGGTAATCTCTATGAATATGGATATATATAGAATATATATATACAGAATAGAGAACATATACACAGAATCTATATCTATCCATCTATCTATCTATCTTTTTGTTTGTTTGTTTGTTTTTGTTTTTTTTCTGGTACCAGGAATCGAACTCACGACCTTGCGCTTGCCAGGCAGGCGCTGTGCCACTGAGCTAAATCCCCAGCCTGTATCTATCTATATATCTATCTGCCTATCTATCTATCTATCTATCTATCTTTCCCTAGCTCTGCAGCTCTGCACACTAAAGTGATTTGGAAATAATGACCAATCAAGTAGCGATAAACATTCCTTACTTCTTAGACTGTAGTCTTAAAATACAATTTTCCACTAAAAAGTGTATGAGCTTCTTACTCCTGTGTCTGAGACAGGAAATAACTAAGAGGAGCCTGAACTCTCACCATGGCAGACAGAAAAGAAACTATCAAAAACCTCTAGGGCTGTCAAAAGGACCCAGGTCAAATTGGAGAGGTTCATTGTTATGGCACAATGGGTTTCAACATGAACAAATGTAAGTAAATATAATGAGGAAAAGGAAGCTAAATTTCTTATTGTTGGAAAGGAAAATTACAGAGAAAGGGAAGACTAAAAACCACGATGTGGTGTTAGACTAGAATTTGAGGTATACTGACATGAACTCCTATATATTTTATATATATATATGTAAATGAACTCATATGACATATATATATATATAGAGAGAGAGAGAGTCCACCAAAAAAGGGTATACACACTTCAGCAGTTCACCATACTAATAAATGTAAGGAAACTACTCACCACCATTCTGAGCATCTCAGAGGCCAATCACAGAGGCCAAAGGTAACTTGTATTAATCTCACGATGTCTCAATGAATTTAGTATTCAAATATTTATACATGTTTTTCTTTTCCAAACGTATACATTTCTTGGATGGACTCTGTATAATAGAAACATAGACAAATGTGTAGGTGTAAATGTTCACTATTTCCTATATCTGTCTACTCTGTAGATGGAAAATAATGACACCCAGGAGCCATAAGCATACCAGGCATCCAGACTAGGATTTTTTTTTTTTTTTTTGGTACAGGGAATTGAACTCTGGACCTTGTGCTTGCCAGGCAGGCAGTGTGCCACTGAGTTGTATCACTGGCCCCAGACTAGGATTCTAAATACCATTCTCCACTAAGAGATATCAAGATAGTTGGTGAAATAGCTAAAATGACTGTAGACTTTCTTGTGTAACTCAGCAGGACAGCAGAAAAGAGAGTAGCCTCCACCTAACTAGGGATAGTTGATGTAGTTTGAATGAGATGTGCACATTAGATGGTAATGCTGTACAAATTTCTTGATTCTGATAGGTTACACTGTGACTGTCCAGGACAGCAGGCCCTTGTTTTTAGAAGTACCACTGAGACATTAGGGTGATGGGGTACCATGTCTGCAACTTGCTTTCAATGGCCTAGGGTGGCCTGAGAGGATAGTACATACAGTGAGAGAGAAAGAATGATAAGGTAAATGCAAAATGTTAATGGGGGTTTTGAGTGAAGGATGGAAGGAGGTTGCTTTGTACTACTTTTGCAACTTTATTGCAAACTTGAAATTATTTCAAAATAAAAAGTAAAAATATCACTTTCTCTAAGACAAGTTGAACATATGGGGAAATATTCAAGCTAACTGAAATATGCAGATTACTAAGCAAATGTGCAATGTAATTTAAATTTTGTTGAATATATATTTAATTCAATAACATTATATTTTTAGAGCCAACTGTGGTGGCATACCTCTGTAATCCCAGCTACTTGGAAGACAATAACAGGTTCGTCGCAGGAAGATCACAAGTTCAAGGCCAGCCTGGACTATGGGGAAACCCTATGTCCAATAACAACCACAAGGAAATTAACAACTGTCATCTGTTAGTGATAAATAGTCATGCCTATCTTACAGCAAGACAGAATTGGAGGACTTATGCTATCAGATATCAAGACTTAATATAAATGTGTGGAAATTAAGGTGTAAAATATCTTGGGTAACAGAGGGAGACCTTGTCTTTTTTTTTTAAGATATGAGGTTTTTATTAAGATATGAGAAAAATAACAACAAAATATTCAGAAATTGATCCATATATATACAGGCACCTGACTTATGGGAACATGACTTTTTTTTTAATAGTGCTAGGTCAACTATATGGAAAATGAGAATCTTGTCACCTACCTCACATTATACACAAATATTAATTTGAAAATAATCATAAATCTCAATATTAAAACATATGGGAAGCACAGTGGGTGGTAGCTCAGTGGTACAGTGTCTGCCTAGCATATGCAAGGCCTTGGGTTTGATCCCCAGTGCTGGGGGGGTGGGCAGAAAACAGGAAATTATCTTCAGAATTAGGGTAGGCAAAGATTTCTTGAATATGACATGAAAAACACTAACCATGAAAGCAAAATTACATAACTTAGACTTTATTAAAATTAAGAAATTCTTTAAATATGCTAGTAAGAGAGCTGGACATAGTAGTGCATGCTTATAATCCCAACACTTTGGGTGAGGCAGGAGGATTAAAAGTTCAATTCCTGCTGGGCAATTTAGCAATATCCTGTCTCATAATAAAAAATAAAGGGCTGGGATATAGTTCAGTGTAAAAGCCCTAGGTTCAACCCCCAGTAGTGCCAAAAAAAAGAAAAAAAAGGAGAGGGAGCCACCATTAACTGAGAGAGGATATTTGCAATATCAAAGATTCACATCTGGGGCTGGGGATTTAGCTCAGTGGCAAAGCGCCTGCCTGGCAAGCGCAAGGTCATGAGTTCGGTTCCCGGTACCGGAGAAAAACCAAAAAAA